GTTGCTGACATGCTTCAACGGGAAGTCATCCGTCCCTGATCTAGCCCTTGGTCGTCTCCAATTGTTTTGGTTCGTAAAAAGGATGGCTCCGTGCGTTTTCGCATGGACTACCGGGCGCTCAATAAGATCACACGCAAGGACGTGTATCCTACGCCACGCATTGACGACGCCCTTGATTTCCTACAAGGCGCGGAATTTTTTTCGAGCATCGACTTGTGTTCTGGGTACTGGCAGATTCTCATGCATGAAGACGATAAGGAGAAAGTGGCGTTCGCAACCACCGATGGTCTATACGAATTCAGCGTGATGCCTTTTGGGCTCTGCAACGCACCTGCGACTTTTGAGCGCATGATCGACACCGTGCTGCGCGGCTTGGAATGGAAAAGTTGCCTTTGTTACCTGGACGACATTATTGTCTTTTCGTCAACGTTTCCTGAGCACTTAGAACGATTGGATCAAGTTGTGACATGCCTTGCCGGCGCCCGGCTCCAAATGAACTCTAGGAAATGCTCTTTCACTAGCAAATCTATCAAGGTCTTAGGACACGTCGTTTGCAAAGATGGCATTTGGCCCGACCCTGACAAGATTTCTGCAGTCCTTCACTTTCCGCGTCCCAAAAGACCAAAGGAGCTTCGCAGTTTTCTTGGCCTCGCCTCCTACTTTCACCAATTTATCCAGAACTTCGCCTCCATTGCTGCTCCATTACACCAGCGACTTACTCCCAACGTTACCTTTATGTGGTCTCAAGAATGTCAAACGGCATTGACATGTCGAAGTGGGCCCTCACATCTGAACCTCTGCTTTGCCACTTTTACGAAGCCGCACCGACTATCCTCCATACCGACGCTAGCGGCCTTGGTATAGGGGCAGTTCTTCTACAACGCCACAAGTTTTCCCTAGAGAAAGTTGTTTGTTGCATATGCCAGTTGGGTACTCACCCCTGCCGAAAAGAACTACACGATAACTGAGCAAGAGTGTTTGGCTGTGGTTTGGTCGGTGCAGAAGTTCCGTCCCTATCTCCACGGTCGTCACTTTAGAATCGTTACGGACCACCATGCCTTATGCTAGCTTTCTACACTTAAGAACTTGTCTGGGCGCTTGGGTCGGTGGATACTACGCTTGCAGGAGTACGACTTTGACATAACTTACAAGTCAGGTAAAAAACATCAAGACGCTGACGCTTTATCTCGTTGCCCGCTTCAACCAACCCATATCAGCGTTGGTGAGAACTCAACCGCATCATCTACCAAAGTTCATACGCTTGCATCGATACGGCAACCCTTTTCAGACGACGAGCCAACATTTATCTCCCGCCAGCAATCCGATCCACACTGCAGACGCATAATGGACCACTTTTCGGGAGTTTCTCATCCACCAAACGCGCGACTTCGTCGTCAACTCCTGCTTTTTAAGCTGGACAATGGGGTTCTCTACCGCCACATTCGCCACCCTCATGGTCAGCGCTGGGTTCCTGTACTGCCTTGGTCTCTTTGACTTCAAGTGTTCGAAGCCTTTCACGAAGACTTCACTGCTGGTCACCTTGGTTTTAAAAAAAACTCTTGACCGCATTCGATGTCGTTATCGCTGGCCTTTCCTTTATTCTAGAGTAGCGCGGTACGTCGGTTCCTGCTATCTACGCCAGCATCGTAAACTCTTGACTCTGCAGCTGCGGGACCTCTACAGCCACTTCCGTGCCCTTCAATGCCGTTCGAGGTTGTAGATGTCGACCTTTACGGGTCTCTCCCGTAACATCTGCTGGCAAACGATGGATAGTGACTGCCGTGGACCACCTGACATGATACGCTGACACGTCCTCTGTTAGTGCAGGCTCAGCTGTAGAAGTTGCAAACTTTATTCTTCACGCCATAATCCTGCGTCATGGGGCTCCTCGTGTACTGCTTAGTGACCAGGGCAAAGTGTTCCTGTCACAAATGGTAAATTAAAAACTGCGCGCTTCTGGAACTACTCACAAGACAGCTTCGAGCTACCACCCTCAGACAAATGGTCTCACAGAAAGATTTCATCGAACCCTTGCTGACATTATAGCCGTTCACGTCCAACCCGACCACAAAAGCTGGGATACTATTTTACCATTCCTGACCTTCACCTACAACACCGCTGTTCAGCGAACAACTTGCTACGCATCGTTTTACATCATGTACGGACGCACCCTGACTACCTTTTTCAAAGTATTTTTGTTTAACAGCCATGGCAATTCATGTCAGTCTTCCAGCGAAGAATACATTTCCCGCCTGGCCTAGCCTCGCTATCAGGCTCGCATCAATACTGAAGCGAGACAGCACGAGCGGAAAATCATGTATCACGCATCCCATCGCGTTGTGTCTTTCCAACCTGGTGATGAGATGCTGCTTTTGACACCAATTCGCTCTCCTGGTCTCTATGACCAATTCGAACCACGCTTCATCGGGCCATACATAGTAACCTGGTGATGAGGTGCTGCTTTTGACACCAATTCGCTCTCCTGGTCTCTATGACAAATTCCAACCACGCTTCATCGGGCCATACATAGTTTTAGAACATACTTTACCGGTCAATTATCGTGTGACACCACTTGTCGCCCCAACAGACCACCGTTACTGCAGCACCGAGATTGTCCACCCAAAAAAGTGGCTGGAGGGAAGGCCGCTGTGATAGCTCCATGGTTAGAGCATCGAACGCGTTATTCGAACGTCCTAGGTTTGTTTCCTGCTCACGGCTGGTTATTTTTTCACCCACTTTTCTTTCTTCTTATTTACATTCTATTTGTTCTAATAACTGCCCCTATACATTCCTTGGCATTATTGTCTGTTAGATCGCATATATATATATATATATATTTAATTGCTACCGAGACTGTGGGCCACATGCTTTCCTAGTTAATTCAATGATTCTTCCTCCGACGTCGCTACCTAATGAAGCAGTGTACCTGAATTCCTTTTCGTGACCACTATGAACCACATGAGCTCTGGGTCCGCGACGCGTTACAGGTGACATCGATTCTGCTGTCACAACGTCATCTGTGACACTTGCAGCTACATTTAGTAAAGCTGTAATGCAAAGAATGCTGTGCCAATTTGTCTTTTGTGCGCGACAACTTTTCTTGCCAGCACTGTAAAAGCTATAGAACCAAAGTGTGTGCCTGCTGTCACGCTAGAAACTAGTTCTTAAGTTTGTTGGTGATTTTCTCGTTTGCCTTGCTGAAATAAACACTGATTCATTTATTTGCTGTGTCTGAAGGTACGTCAGACATACCCGAATTTCAAAAGCTAAAGGTTTGTCCAACGTATCCTAAACCGTGATACTAAACATACATCGGACATAACCGAATCCTACAAGCTAAAGGTATATTCGACGTGCGCTTTCTCGCGAGTTTTCACTCAAGCGGCTCATGTTCCACCTGGCCGTCCGTCGTTTGCCAGCAGTTAGTACGTCTGACCTCGTAGACGCGCGGATCCAAAAAAAAAAGTTTTCGTTAACGAGTTTGTAGTTGGACACACAGATGTTGCACTGGTTACGTTGGACATTGCACAGGTTGCACTTTCTCGCCTACTCAAGCTTAATTTACACCACAGAAATGTTTATTCCTGCATGGTTTACACACAGCTATAATGGTGCTTTATTGTAAAAAAAAGTTTTCGCCACCGAATTCGTTTCGGTACAAGTAGTATAAATCAATTCATTCCAATCTAGTTATTGGAGGCAATGTCATCCGTGACCACTGACACGTCCTATTTGTGTGCCGCCATTCTCCCGCGGTGTTACAGTTCTGTTACCGTTCCGCAGAACGTGAGGCACCTGTGAAGTGTTCCTGTTCCGCAGCTCGTGTGATGCCTGACAGTTCAACGAAAGCTGGGAACAAATTTCGAACGTTTAGTGAACTGGAAGCTGCTGGGAAAGGATACAGTGAAGTTCATGCAGTTTTACAAACATGACTGTCGAACTGTCATGTCACAGCCACAAAGACCAAAGTAAAGCATTTTCTGAATGACCGTCTTGAAATGTATTAGGTGGTTTACTGCTGTATCAAGGGGGGTAAGTAAGTGTATCAAGGGGGGTAAGTCAGGTAAGCACAGCACTAGTCCTTGTTTCCTTTGTGTTTCTTGCTGTGCTGCCAATCCACAGTGGTCAGTGACGTGGTTGCGTTGTAGACATCATGCATTTTGACAATTGTTTCTTGAGAGACAATTGATCAGTTTCAGTACCTTTCAATCTGGATGTCCAGTGTTAATGAAGTGCAAAGCCTCTAATGATGGGAACTTTTTGCAGGCTATTGAAATGAATGAGGACCACAACAAATGAGTTATCGAAGGGATGAAGTTCTTGAGCATCTTCAAATGTGTGTGACAGTATCTGAATACCCTGTCGTTCATCCCTCATCATGTGTTGGTAAATTAAGCCAACACAGCTTTTCCTGTTACCTGTTCATATTGGTTACTGAAGTTCAGTTTTGTTTTTTTCACAGGAACAAACCTGAGTTTTGAGGTTATACAGGATGACATGCACCACTGAAATATACATTTGACAAAATGTTTGACGTGCTTACATGATCGCCCGAAGTTTTCTCGCTCCATTTTTATTGAACTGGTAGTACCAGCACAGGGGATACGAAGTTTTGCGATGTCAGATTAATGGGATCAAAGTAGTACATGCAGGTTCATTCCTTATTCACACTCAGAGGAATTCCTGCTGTGTCATTATTACATTTAGGCAGATTAACTGCAACTTGTTAGTCATCAAAGCTGCCACCCTACAGTTCTACTACATTCAGAAACTGTGTTTTTGACATCACATGCAAGTCATATACTGGAAAAACATATTCACAGTTACAGGCATGATTAGGCGAGATTGAAGTGAGCTTGCTTGTGCTAAGAACCTAGATGCAATATGTTGCCTGCATTTGTTTGCTTCACTCTGTGAGCTTGACATTGCAGAATGCAGTGAACCTATAATTTCATATATAGATCAATTTAACTTTGAATGAAAAGTTTATTTTATTGCAGTTACTCTACAGCCACCTGCCACAAACCAGAGCATTAAGAGAACCAGGGGCCAATGAGGAAGCAACACAGCCCTTGGCTTTGCATGCCAACAAGGAGTTGGGTAAGCAAAGGATAGAAGAAAAGACAGGGAAACTTGTCCTGCTTAAGGGGAGATGCTACTCGAAGACACTTTTTTTTAATATTCATTCTAGAGCAATTAAACCTGAGCTGTTTATGGAACATTTTATGCCGATTTCAAATATATGATTAGTTTTCTTGCAAGTTACACACTTTTAGCTCTGGAACATGACAAAGTGAAAACCTTAACCCTTTTATCACCCTCTTTTCATCCCTAAACATCTGCAATTTTTTACCATTCATAGTTTATAATGCTTAAAATAAAGTGTAGAGTGCAAATAACTAATTAGAAAGCACATACGCATGAAAAATACTAGACATAAAAAGTTCATATTTCACCTACCCAAGTAAAGGTATACATATAATTTTTTAATATACAATAAAATATTAAAATTTAAACTAGATAATTGCATTTGTAATACTTTAGAAAAAGTTTGGGCAAAATTTTATGCAGATCCAAGCACTAGAAGTGCCCGAAAAAAGAGGGGCACATTGGAAAAATGGCAAAATTTGTGTTCTTAAAGTTAAAATTGAGTTTTTATTTATGAAAGATACCATAATATCAGATGAAATTTGCACACCAAAAAGAACAATCCTTCTTATAGTGGCCACTGCGACTAAAATACGCCAGCACCATGAGTTTGTCCCTCTCGGCTTTTTCGAGCCGTCTCCTTACAGACATTTCGCTCACAGACAGGGCCATGAAAAGCTTGCCAAACTTCTGCTCCATCTGGCAGAGCCTTGTGCTAACTGCAAGCTAGAAAGAAGTTCGACAGGGCTGCGAAATCCAAACTTAGTTCAGTGTCATGCCATTTTGCAGCCATGTTTGTGCCACATACCGTCGTACGTAATGGCAATGTCGTCCCTGCTAAGTTCTCTCACTGCGAGCTCTTTCGACCTCTCAAGATTGGTGCTGACGTCATCCATTGCCGCATTAGGAACTTTCCAGCTGACGGGTGTGAATAACCTTTGACGCATTGGCTTTTGCAAGCGAACAAATTAACTGCCGCAAATCGGACCAGCTGCTTGTAGCCTTATCCTACAGAACGCACCGCACAACGGCTTTCACTTGCGAGCAATGCTTTTTTCACTCGTAACAGACATAATTACACGAGAAAATCATTGTTCAGCTGCACTGCTCGACAAGACATGGACCCCGCAAATAGGTTTCACAGCACATACAGGGGTGCAGTGGGCAATGACGGTCCCTGATTCGTGCCATGTGATAAGCCAGTCGGGGCGCTCGAAAAACGCGCAGAAGAGTGCTTCTTTTTATTATTTCTTGTGCTGCATCAGCGAGAGAAACTGTTGTCATCTGAAGAGTGAGGCTCGACTCTTCGACTCATGCGATCAACAATGGCGAGCGGCGGCGCATTATTGACGGCAAGGTGCTCAAAGACTGCACACTTTCGACCTTTTAACAGGCACCTCGTGCTCTTTAGATCCAATTATGAAGCATTTCCAGTTAAGTGTTGACCTCTATTATTTTTTATATAACAGTACAAGTACTAATCTTATCAAAATAGGTGAAAATCCGTAATTTTGAAAAAAACTCATGTTTTTTCACCCGCATCTCCCCTTAAAGACTTGAGAAATGCTGCCTCTTTCCTGAAACCACAGACAAAGAATGACCTCATAAAAACTGCAGCTCTTCTGTAAAATGAGCATGGTAAGCACCCGGTATCGTAGCACAAGTTTTTAAAGAATTTCATCTGGGTTTTCCAGTGGGCTTCAGAGAACCCTGTATGTACCTGAAACTATATATGTAACAGTTCTCATTAATATTGTTACGTCTTAAGTAGGGGTGCAGGGTTTTATTGAACAGCAGGCTTGGATGGCAAGACCTCACAGAACCAAGTTGCCTAGAGATCTTCTTTCGAAGTCCACACTTCTAATCCCTCTTCTCAGTCTGGCACATACGCGTCATAATGTTTCCCCCTTCGCAAACGAAACACACCGCGCGTTTAATGCATCGTCCCGTCCTCTAAAAGCTTTGAGGCGAGCCATATAAGTTTAGTGGATTGTCTCCTACTAACTGTCAGTCGTGCTATTCTATAATCGACTGCACTGAGGCGCTCAAGGACGACGAATGGGCCAGTGTGGTGGGTGAAGAGTTTTGTTGACAAGCCATGCTTGCGAATGGGCTTCCACACCAGGATAAGGTCTCCCAGTTAATATGAGACGTGGCGGTGCTTGCTGTCGTAGCGGAGCTTTGAGTGGTTTTTTGATGCTATAGTACGCAGGCGAGCAAGACAGCCAGTTTCTTCTGCGAGGCAAAGTGTTCCCGCTAAAGAAGGATCGTCATTGTCATAGAATGAAAAAATAGTGTCCAGGGTAAACGAGAGGGTCGAACATAGAGAAGAAAGAGTGGGCTGTGGCCTGTGGTCTCGTGTTGGGCAGTATTAAAGGCAGACGTGATGAACAGTAAGACGCCATCCCAGTTTTTGTGAATGGACGCCATGTACATTTACAGGATATTCACCAGTGTCCCGTTTGTATGTTCAGTAAGGCCATTCATCTGTGGATAGTAAGGTCTCGATAGTCGAATTTATGAGCCACACATATGAAGCAGTTCCTCGACAACGTCTGCTGTAAACTGACGGCCACGGTCACTTATTATGATGTGAGGAGGTCTGTGGCGCAGAATAATAGAGCGCAGAAGGAAGGAGGATACTTGGCCAACAGTCGCAGATGGCAGGGCTAAAGCCCCTATACTTCGTAAAAGTACCGTCATCTGCTGTCCCCATTGCCACCTCCTCTCTGGCGTGTTCCTTTTTTTTTTCCGCTTGTGACAGTGGCGCCCCCTGTAATGCACCACGAGTTTGCAGTTTGCTTTCGAGCTGTTGGCGCGCCACTGCTGCTGCATTAGTTACAGCCGCTCCTGTACAGCCATGGCCGTGTGTCGTGCCTCGCATACGGCTTTATGTAATGATTGTTCCACGTTGATTTTCTCAACAATACGGGATGCACTCACCATCCATATTACGGCAGAAGAGCTGCTACAAATCACGCACAAGTTGTAGCGATTAGCACGTAATTTAAACTTCTTTTCGCAGCGCAGTGTTTTCTTGTGTATCTGGTGCTGATATACATAGCTGAGTTAATTGAGAAATGGTCGAAATTAAATTAAGTAAACTCAGTACTCTAATTATTGAACCGGTAAGAAATTTTTAAATCACAGCTGTGGTGCCTTAAGCCACTCCATTTAAAAATTAATAGTTTTTGTGTGTACAAACTATCTCGATATTTTACAACTGCAGCAATGTCAACAATGTCCATTTAAGTGCTCGCTCAGAACTTCATGACGTTTCACATGCTATCTCTCCTGTCCAATGCCTGTCCACTGACTTGTGCACGCAGTACGCCGTTCTGAGATGTTTGTTCTCTGCGGCACAGTTTGCAACCATTGTTTGTCTGTTTATTTGTTTGTTTGTTTAATAATATTGTCAACCCCAAGCTGCTGTTTTTACAGGAGTGGAAAACACGTACAATGAATAGCATGCACTTATATGCTGAAATTCAAGCAAAAAAAAAAATAAAAAGAAATGGTCATGAAATACATTAAAAAATAAAGGCATACAGTGAACACAGGCAATAACACTAAAAGACAGAATTAAACACACTCATGTGCACTTGTATTCTGCACATTGAAAACAACAATTAACTAAGAGGCAATATACATTGATGTTGTTAATTACAGGAATAAAAACAACAATAAAAAATACTATGACGCATCTGTTTCTGAGAAAACAAGCAATTCTAAAGCTCCAGAAAATGCTGTGATAGAAGAAAACATGGCGACTGTGTTTGGTAATTCATTCAATTCTTTAATTGCTCTCGGAAAGAAACTGTATTTAAATGCGTGGTTTCCAGTGGCTGGTGGCTGTATATATAAAGTGTGTTTGTGTCTAGAGCGCAGATCTCGAGAAATTTCAAAGAAATGTAATGAGTTAATTTTAACCTGATTATGAATAATGAGGAATAGAAATTTCAAACAGTCATGCTTAATTCTAAGTTCTTAGGCTTGTAGGTTTGCACGGCAGCAAAGTTTGGAAGCAGAGTGCATGCGTTTTTCCAACTTTTTGCAGTTTATATAGGTTAACAGTGGTGTGAGGGTCCCATACTATTCTAGAATATTCAATTATTGGACTTTCCATTTTGGGTGTTGCATCATGTAACCTTTGCCACAGACCCCACAGAGTTTTGTTCGCCTTTCTACTGGTGACGCCTATGTTAGTATCCCACCTTAAGTCTGGAGGGAACATTAGCCCTAAATATTTATATTTCCTTACCCTTTATAGATCTTGAGAGCCAATATTGTAATTATGTTTGAAAGGTACCTTTTTTCTTATACTCATGCATGCCTCCATGGGCGTTGCAGATAATGTAGGGGATAAAGGTCGTTCTTGCACACGGAAGCCATTTCGAATTGCTGGATGGCCAAGATGGTGCTGTGATGTAGAGGTCGAAAAACGCAGTCGCGTCATCACTGTCAAAATTACCGCTCGCCCAAACTGGCGATGTATTATCTGAACTCCATGCACAGTTTCGTCTCAAAGCAATGAGAAATTTCGGAACATTGTCATATGTATCGCAACAAAGCGTTTTTTTTTTTGCAAGTGCCAGTGGTTCATTTCATAAGGAGCACACGTGACGTGCACGCTGTTGCAGACACTGGCTGCACTTGAAAACAGCCGCAATAATCATGAAATTTGAAACATTAACCACTTTTGAGAGAAATGCTCTAGCACGTCCTGCACTTTGCATGTGATGAACAAGCAACACAGTGGCACATGGCGCCGAGCCGTGAAAAACGGTTCTTCACCGTATCCACACGAAGAGACAAGAAGCTCCGGTGGGGAAAGGAGGAAGCGGTACAGATCAAAAGAATGCTGTACTTTTCCAAAGTTATAGGGGCTTTAGGCAGGGTGGCCATCTGCCAGTAGCGGGTAAGATAATTGGCGCACACTACAATTCATCGGT